GCACCACTGGCCCCCAGCCCCGTCCCGTCCCCAGCCGAGCACCGCCAGCCCCGGCCCGGGCCGAGCACCGCCAGCCCCATACCTCCGCCCCCGGCCGAGCACCGCCGGCCCCCGGCCCCCGGCCGAGCACTGCCGGGCCCTCCCTCCCTATTTTCCCGGACATGTCCGGCTTTTTGGGATTTCCTCCCGGATGGGGATTTGAGGCCCAAAAAGCTGGACATGTCCAGGAAAATCTGGACGTATGGTAACCCTAGGCAACTTGGGTGAAAGTGATTGTAGCAGGGTGGCCACCTGCTCCTGCTCTGAAGGGCTTAAAACAGCCCTGGGAGAGGGCTGTGGTAGGGGAAAACCTGGGCTGATTGGGGAAGTAGCCACAGCTGGGCCACGCCCCAATCAGGCTGCAGCTGGCCCTATAAAGAGGCTGTGGGCTGGGAGCACAGGCAGTCTCTCTCTAGGTGCAGAGAGAGAAGGGCCTGGCTGCCTGGGACTTGAGTAAGGTACCGGAGTAGAGCAGTGCTGGGGAATAGGGCAAAGGAGCTGGGGAGCTCCCATCTGGAAACCCCTCAGGCTGCAGGCCTAGCCAAAGGCCTGAAAAGGTACTGGGGTTGCAGAGGTGCAGCCCAAGGGTAGGTGGAGGCAGCAGGTTCAACCCGCCCTTGCCAATGATGAGTGATATGGACTGCAGTCGGTCCCAGAGTGCGGGGGCTAGATGAGGACTGGCAGTGAACACTGAGGCAAGGTGGGGATAGAGGGTGGGGATTCCCCTGGGTGGGGAGCCCAGAGAGTGGGGGTACTGCCAGAGGGCAGCACCCAAGGGAGAGGGGCACCAAGGTCTGGGAGGGACACGGGGCCAGTGACAGCAGGACATTGGCCTGCAGAGGGCGCTCCAAGGCTGGAGAGCTAATTCCCATACCAGACCAGCAGGAGGCGCCGCAGGGGTGAGTTGCGCATCACTACAGTGATCATGAAATGATAGAGTTCATGATTCTAATGAATGGTAGGAGGGAGAACAGCACAATAGAGACAATGGATTTTAAGAAGGCAGACTTTAGCAAACTCAGGGAGCTGGTAGGTAAATCCCATGAGAAGCAAGTCTAAGGGGAAAAACAACTGAAGACTCTTGGCAGTTTTTCAAAGTGACATTATTAAGGGCACAAGAGCAAACAAGCCCACTGCGTAGGAAAGATAGAAATTATGGCAAGAGACCACCCTGACTTAACCAGGAGATCTTCAATGATATAAAACTCAAAAAAGAGTCCTACAAATAGTGGAAACTTGGACA